GCCCCTGCGCATGCCCAGTGTGCGCTCCCCGCTCCGGGCGGGGCCGCCGGCGAGCACGGCCACGCCCACTGATGGTCTAGCATTGTCTTTCCTCGCCCTTACTGCGTCACAGCCTTCCTGACACGTTTTGTTCTGGCAAAATGCACGTGGGCTCTTCCTCTTGCCACCCAACACTAAGGAACCGGGTCAGGGAGCCGGTTATCACCCTGAAGTGGCGCCGTGAGCCCCCGGGCTAGGGACCTCTTTAGTATAGAATTTGGAATTAAACTGAGAGAAAAGATCTGCTTTTGATGCTGCCCGCTACGTCAACCACCACTGAGTGGGACATCTGACTTGCCTGGTGGCACAGGGAAGTTTTTGGAGGGCACACTTGTAAGAGAGCCCTGGGGTGTCTGCAGGTAAGGAACGTGCCACCCCTACATGCTTGCTCTGAGCACCAAGGTGTCGCTCATTTGCATGTCCCTTGACTTTCATACCAGCACCCTAGCAGAAGGTCTGAGAAGGTCATTGCCACATCAGGGAATGGCAGGCCAGGGCTTTGTCTGGAGTTTCACACACACACACACACACACACACACACACACACACACACACCTAGCTCCATTGCAAGCCTGCAGGGCTTTGTCTGGAGTTTTACACACAGACACACACACACACACACACCTAGCTCCATTGCAAGCCTGCATATTGTGAAGGCCATTCTAGATCCAAAAGAAAGTTGCAGAGCAATACAGATTGACAGGGTTCTTGGAGCGACTAACAGAAACAGACTCTGAAAGGGCCAAGCCCTGCTCCGAGAGGGAAGCCGGACACGTATTTCTATTAGCAGCTAGCCGGGTTAGAGTTTGTACCACCCACTGACAACTAGCCATACAATGGAAAACTATTGGACGGTAAAAATAAAGTAACTATTGATATTCACAAATGGAGACGATCAATATCATCAGCCAAAGCAAGGCCAGGGGCCAGCTGCGGAACACACCATCGGTTACTCAAATCCAAGGTCTGGTTTAAGGAGCCGGGGTGGGGCAGTGTTTACGTGTTGGGCTGCCATCGCCTGGTGGGCAGTTCAAAACCACCAGCAGCAACTCCGGAGAAAGGCTGGGCTTTCTACTCCGCAAACAATCCTTAAAACTCAGAGGTCACTATGAGTCAGTGTTGAGGCAGTGAGAAGCTCAGGCGTAAGATTAAGAAAATTTAAGCAAGGGCACAAAAGCCAAACTACAACTTTAACTCTAGCCCACTGACAGAACACCGCTGATGTAAACTGGATCTTGGCTGAAAGCAGATAATACTAGAAACATCTACTGGTGTTTCATTGCCTATCAAAAGGCATTCATCTGTGTGGATCAGAACAAAATGTGCAAAAAATGGAGATTCCAAAATAATTCATCGTGCTTAGGCAGAGCCTGTCCAAAGAGCAAGAGGCAGTTGTTCAAGCAGGACAAGGCGCTACTGCATGGTTTAAATCAGGAAAAGCGTGTCAGGGTTGTGTCCTTGTAACAAACACTCAGTCTGTGTGCTGAGCTAATAAGCCAAGAAGCTGGACTTTATGATTGGAATAAGGCTCATGAACAGACTACGACAGCAGATGACACAACCTTGGTTGCTGAAAGCTAAGAGGGCGTGAAGCACTTATTGAGGAAGATCAAAGACCACAGCCTTCAGTATAGACGAGAACTTCAGATAAAGAAAACAAAAATCCTCACAACTGCACCAGTAGACAATATCATGATCAATGGAAAAAGACCAGCGTTCTCAAGGATTTCCTTTGACATGGATCCACAGTCAATGCTCATGGAAGCAGTGGTGACAAAAAAATTCAGACCATGTATTGCTTTGGGCAAATATGCTGTCTAAGCCCTTTTTACAGTGTTAAATAGCAAATGTGTCACTTTGTAGAATAAGGTGCATCTGACCCAAGTGGTGGTATTTTCAATCACTTCATATGAATGTGAAAATTGGACAATACATAAGGAAGATTAGAGAATAGATACATTTAAATTATAGGATTAACAAAGAATATTGAAAATATGAGGGACTCCCAGATTAATACACAAATCTGTCTTGGATAAAGTACAGCCACAATATTCTTCAGAAGTGAGATAGTAAGTTTTTGTCTTATGTATTTTGGAAATTTGGTTAGAAGAGACCAGTCCTTGAGAAGGACATCACACATGGTACATTAGAAGGTCATGAAAAAGGAGAAGGCACTCAACAAACGGGATTGGCCCAGTGACTAGAGCAATGGACTCACGCGGACAAACAATTGTGAGGGTGGCACAGAGCAGGCTGCTTCGTCCTGTTGGACAGGAGATTGCTGCTGCCTGCACAGCCCCTAAGAGCCTACACAGCTCTTTTTCGTTCAAGTATCTTATTCTTTTGTTTAGCAGTTGTGTTGGCAGCATACGTATTTCCATGTTGACCTTTGCCTCTTGCTTGGCAAATAGTAGCAGGCTTTATGTGACATGACCTTTTCACAGTCCAAACACGAGATAAGAACCCTTCTTTCCAGTTCCCCAACTTGTTCCTTAAATTCTAGTTTGGGTCATAAAGACACTTCTATTGAAGTGATCGATATGACCTGTGCTTTTAGGCGCTGATAGGATAATCATTCCCAACGTAGCATTACATCCATCCGTTTCATGTGTTAGTGTGGGAAACTAACACTGAGGGAAATATGAGTGGAACTATATTCCCTAACTTATAACAGAGGGAATCTGGAAAGCGAGTATTCCACGGTAGGAAAGCCACCACTTTGATAAGTTAGAGATAAAGTCCAAGTACATGACCCTGCTTTAAATATCATTCCCGCAGATTCTCCCAGAACAGCTATGCTGGTTGCTTCTGTCTCACTATAGAAGCAGACAGTCTTGTTATCTCCTCCCGCCCCAGCATCCATCCCACCTCATGCCTTCCCCCACTGCAGATATTGGGTTTCCTCACCTGTGAGCTCAGGGACTTTACTGTGGCTACCACCCACCTTGTGACGTATGTAACTCCTGAATAGGCATGCCTTATGGAT